ACTAATTAAAAATAAAACTATAAGTAAATAGCAGAAAGACCAATGTAGTAGAGGGAAGGGAACTGAAGAAAGGAGGAAGGAAAGAGAAGGGGAAATACTGGGGACCGAACAAATGATAGTTCGTGCCTCTATAATTATGTCAAAATAAATTCTACTGTCATGTATGACTAAAAAGAACCAGTAAAAATACAACCATGAAAACTCAGAAAACATAGAACAATGAGGGTGAGCAACACATTATAAAGTCTCAGTAATTAAAACCATTTTTTTTGGCTCATAAGAACAATGGAATAGAATATAAAGTCCAGGAATTTCAATATATAATATCTCAGATTAGTGGGAAAACAGAAAACATTCAATAAAAAGGGATGGGGCAATTAGATAATCTAACAGAAAAAAAAAAAACTTAGGCAGGATGGATACCTAATACCACTATAAACTGTAAATGGGTGCAATATACAAATGAAGAAATAAAGCTGTAGTGAAATTAGAAGAAAGCATTCTAGACTCACTTAATAATCCAGAACCGAGGAAGCCTTTTCAAAATATAACTGAAAACGTAGAAGTTACGTACGAATACATGGATACACTTACAATCTACATGGCAGAGACATGAAAAATCCAATCCAGGAGACAAACAACAATATAATAAACACCCGTCATGTCACAGACAGAACTATTAAAATAGAGAAAAATCCTAAAACTTTGAAGAAAAAAGAAAACCACTATTCCAACAAAAAAATAGTCAAGTGAAAAGAGTAGGAAAGAGACACATGGCATTTGACTGGATGGAGATGCCTGAGCTGACTCATTGTAGAAGTTCTCTAGCACAGGCTCATGTAATGTGATGAGGGTGAGCTTCCTTGTCTTGCTCCTCATTGCAGACAGGATGTGTCTAGTGGCTCCATTTTTCCCTCATCAGATTGGCACACATTGCCAAAGTGGCCTGCACACTGTCGGCAAGGTCCTGGACATATAGGCTGTCTCATGCCATTCTGCTGGGAGTGGAAATCGGTCCAATCTCTTCAGAGGATAATTTGATAATATTTCAAAGTAAGTCAGATTTTCTACTTCTGAGATAATATCCCGTGGATATTGTTATGAAATTATTTAGATGCCCAAGGTGTTCACACAGAGTGGAGATGACCCCCGATTCCATCAACAGGAAAGGATTAAAATAAATGCTGATATGTCCATAGATTCAGACACTGCACATTTGTAAACAAAACAAAACCAAAACAAAAAAAAGAATGAAAAGAATAAGGATATTTTTATGTGCAGATATAAGGTATTTCCAAGATATTTTATTCAATGAAAAAAAAAGGAACAAAAAAACCAAAGTGCCCAGCCCTATGATAGTACATACTTTTTGTGGAATCAAAGGAGAAACTACCAGAATATACATGTATTAGTTGGTATAAGCATAAAAACCTGAAAGACTACATTAGAAAAGAATGCTTTTGATTATTGGAGGGGTTATTAGAGACTTTCCACTGTATTCCTTTGGAAGATTATTTTTAAAATACAAAGCATTCCATCTTCTACCTTATGTGCCATCCTGAAATGGGGGTGACCTTCATACAACAAAAAAAGACCTGTCCCTTGTGTAGGAAGACAGGCCCCAGTCACTTGGCCTCAGAAACCACATGATTTTAGACTTCAGTTAGTCTCATCCAGCTACTCATGTGCACCTGGTTCCTGCCAGGGACACGGGTACAGGATTTGGCTTTTCTACTGATTGTGGCTCCCACATAGGGAAGGGGATCAGGTAGAGACGATTTTCCTCATTAAATATTCTAACCCCTGGCTGTCACCAGCCACCCACAGACACATTCATCCCACCCTTTAAAAAAGCCAAAACTTTATTAAATAATCCTACTGTAAACCTTGTAAGGATGAAGCCTCTTCTGGAATTCCTCAGATTTCAAAGTCTCACGTTCAAGTTCTTGAAAACGAGGGCAGTTCCTGGAAGGCAGGTGGAGCAACTGAGGACAAAAGAAAGAGCATAAAGACCTTGATTGGCCAGAAGCACCTTGCCAAGGGAGCGGCGCCATTATTTTAAGCCTTGTTTGGTCAAAGGCAACCTTAATAAATTAAGATTCAAATATGCTAGACGTGCGCTCAATGCTAAAATAGGAGAAAACAAAACAAGTGGTCTGAAGGTCTGAAAACCACAGCATCTGTACCCAGATCAAAACAAACAAACAAACAAACAAAAAAAAACCTTTATGATGATTTTTTTTTCTTCCATGAACTTGCCTAAATTGGAATGTGCTGTTTGTAAATATTCACACTTGCTGTGAATTACTGTTATCTTACTTCTTCCTCCTCCCCTTTCATTTCTAGTGCTAGGTGCCCATTGGTTATACACCCTTCTCCCCCAGGAATATGGAAAATAAATTAGAGGTCGGGAAAGAATCTTAAGAGATCAACTAACCATTCATTGACTTCGGTTCTTGCAAATTTGCAGACTGTTAAAATAAGGGTATATATTAAATGTATGGGAAAATATAATTTCAAGCCTATTAGGAGGACAAAATGATCATCCTAAAATGAGTTTACATCTGATGATCTCTTGGAGGTTTTAACTATGCTCTACAGGTGGGTGACACCCAAGTTCATTTTGTTGCTCTTGCTTTTCTGTATTTGTCCTGTATTTCTGGACAACGCTATTTGTATATTTCTCTTTGACTGTTGAAGACCTCTAAGGTAACATGGACAGAGCCAAAGTGGACTTCCTCACTTTAAGCCATTTCTTCTTGATACTTTCTCCACTTTTGCCAATGGCAAAATTTACAACCCGGCTTCATAGACTAATCATTTTGGGGGGGTCTATTTTCAAAATAGATCTAAAATAGGCCCGTAACCTTTAAACCACTTTTGTTTGTCGGCTTTCAAAATATGCCCAACAGACTCCTCTCTTTATCTTCATTGTCCCCTACCAGTCCCTGCCATGGTCATCTGTGTTTCAAATACCGTGAATGCCTCCTCTTTGGCCAATCAAAATCCTTTTCTTCTACCTTCACAATTCATTCTTCACACACTAGCTACACTATTGCTTTTTATTTTTATCTTTTAAAGCATTCATCAGATCAGGTTATTTCGTGGTTCCCAACCTTCCTTAACTTTTTATTTGACCTGGAATAAAATCCACAC